TCTTTCCCTCATCACCCTCTCTTACCCACTTTGTTGTCTGGGTCACAGGGAACAGGGCAGCTGGAGTGGAAAGCCAGCACCGATGTCAGAGCAAGAGGAGGTTTCAAGAGACGAGGAGAAGGAGAAGCCAGCCCCCTGGCGGGAATGATTCAGAGGACAGGAGGCCTGGCTCTTGGGTGTATGAAGAAAAACAGCACCCACACACCTGAGACGCGTGCAGGTCCCCATATGTTTCAGCCTCCCCCAGATTGCTAAGGATCTCATTGGTCTGGGGAGACAGTGTTCCAGTACGGAAAACCTAAGAACAAAAATGCCTACAATCTGTGGAGTTCCTCCCATGAGCGGAGCACTTGGTGACATTTAATTTGAATTTTTTTTTTCGGCAGTGCCACAGGGCATGCGGGATCTTAGTTCCCTGACCAGGGATCAAACCCGTGCCCTCTGAGGTGGAAGCACAGAGTCCTAACCACTGGACCGCCAGGGAATTCCCTGGTGACATTTAATTTGATCTTTGCAACAACCCTGTGATGTAGGTGGGATTATCCCATTTTACAAATGAGGAACTGAGGCCCAGAGACTAAATTAAATTCGTTGCCCAAAGTCATATAGCTGGGTTTCAAATCCAGCTTTTGCCCAAGCCTAAAGCCTGTGTCTTTTTTACCTCTGTGTCATCTGTTCCGACTGGACACACACACACACACACACACACACACACACACACACACACACAGCTTCAAATGCTCCGCCTCTGTACCTTCGTGGATGGCAATGACGTGGGGGTGGTTGAGTGATGACATGATCTCTATCTCTCGCCGAATGTGCATCAGATCTTGCTCGTCTTTGATTTTGTCTTTCTGGATCAACTTGATGGCCACCTGGGAGCAGAGAATGTAGGAGAGTGAGGAGAAAGGTCTGGCAGGTAAAGGCGTCCCTGAGGACACTCGGGGAGCCCTGACCCTGGTGATCTGCCTACAGCCGCTGCAAAGGCCACAGCGTGCACCCAGAGAAGCCTCTCCATCCTTCACTGGGACGGGCGGCAGAGAGGCTGGAGGGAACCTTTTATGTTATATATGTTATACCACACACAAAAAAATCACCCAAAAAAGTTATGAAAAAAATGGTAGTCTCTTCGGTCTAGGTAAGTAATGTCTTTCCCCCAGCAACAAACAAACAACTAGACAGTTAAACAGAGTCCTCTGGGCTTTGCTATCTTGTCCGTAAAGGTGAAAATGCCATTTAAGGATTAAACTCTCTGGCTGGTACATGTGGTGGGGTTCAGGAAGGGTGGAGGGAGGCAAGAGGAAGTGGAGAATGAACTGCCAAGAAGCAGTTTAAGCACAGCTCTTAGAGACTGAGGCATCTCGCCCCCTTCTCTGTTCCACCGCACTGAGCAGCGATGGTGACAGAGTACCAACAGCGCATGCAGTGTGTGGGGAAGACACCGTGTGGTGAGTCAGGGGACCTGGGTCCTCCAGGCTCTGTTGCTGTGCTCATGGGCAAGGCCCATGCCCTCTCCCAGCCTCGTTTTCCATGAAATAAACAGGCTGGACTAAGATGTCTGGGGTGCTTTCCTGCTTTGACTCTGTGAAATGACCATATAAATGCCCCGGGGCCCTCGAAGGCTACAACGCTGGCATCAGGTGCTGGGCGGGTATGGGGTGGGGTGTCAGAGGGCTGGTCAGTTCCTGACAAGTCCTGTCCAAGGACACAAGTGGTAAATATAAGACTTCCCCTTCACAGGAGCCGGGCAAGTTATGAGAAATCCCAAGGCACAGGCTGAGGAAAACAGCTCCTCGTTCATTTCCCAGGAGGGTTCACCTCCCCTCAAGGTTCAAAAGGAGGTGGAAAAAAGGGAACCCAGAGCCCAAGGGGCGGGGCCTCTAATCCCCCTTTCACAGGGCTCTGGAGGCAGACAAAGGCTTCCGGCTCTGCTCCGGACCGCGGGCCTCGGGCCTATGTCCCCCTCAGACAAGAATGCGGAACAGCCGTAATCCTGTAAGAGGAGCAGCTCACAATGCCCTGGGCCTGGTCACCCCGGCAACAGGCCAGGGATGGCGTGCCCTCCGCCCCGCTCCTCCCCTGGAGCTGCATCCATGAAAGAGGGGAGGCCCGGCTGTCTCGCCCTCCCAGAGCAGGGCAGGGAGGACAATGGCAGCAGGAGGGACGGTCACCATGGAGTCTCCTGCCCAAGCCCCTGAAGGGGCCCACGCTGCAGCTGCAGGGGCCGGGCTGCACCTCAGGCGCTCTCTTCATGCCCCCCACCCCTTCTGCTCCAAACCACCCCAATGAGCTAAGCAGAAAAATCCCTGGCTTAGAACTGCCCAGGGGGTGGGGATGGGGGGAAGGGGCTTAAATCCTCCTCCAACCAGCCTGGAGCTTGGTTCCTGAACACCTCTCCATACCCTTTTTCTCTCCCTGAAGGGGAGATTTTATGGACTAGTTCTTTTCTCTCTGAATTCTTTGTTTTCAAAATCAGACAATACAGTGAAGCTTCAAGACAACTCTCGTTGCTCCTAATTCCAACCCACTAGAGCCATTAAAGTCTCTCCTACATAGAAACTCCAGAGCTGCAACTGTCTTGATATATCAGATAATGTTCTAATAATTTTTCAGTTATGAATTATCACTGCAGAAAAGAATTATGTTCTTATAACTGCAAAAAATGAACTCTAGGTACAAATGAAAGAGAGTTGTCATTTGTACACGAGGACACACCAATCCAGTGGCAACTAAACATGCTTGCCAAGACTTTAAAGGTTATGATGATTATAAATATGAACATAAATGCCTGCACTGAAACGTAATTGCATTACTTGGTGGTGGGGCTCAGGGCAGGCTACCCCAGACTGTCACTTTGGCATGTGGATGATTTCGAGCTGAAGACAATGAAGGCTCAGCAGACTCAAGAGCTTTTTATCCCTCCCTTAACTGCATTAAAGAATTTAGATAGGAGGCTTGTACCAGAGAGAGCGCTATTAGCAGAGATAACTTTTTTCATCAGGAAGACTTATGTGCATGGCCTAGCAAACATCTATCTACCAAGCATTTGCTTTTCCCATCTTTCTGTGAATTGCCTTCCTCCCCTTTCAAATGCCAGACCCCTACCCGCTTCTCCTTAGCTCAGGATAGCATGTAAGCCTCAACTGCCAGACTGCTGGGGAGCCACATATTTGGGGGGGTTCCTGTACATGTGAAATTAAATTTGTTTTTCTCCTGTTAAAAAAACAAAAATCAGACAATAGATAAAGTGCCATGAGCTCTTCAGATAAAGGCCCATAAAACTGAATTAATAGATAGTAAAAAAAAAAAAAAAATCACATGTAAATCACATACCTAGATAATGAAACAAATATCTGAGAGCTTAAGATACACACATATGCAAAAACTAGGCATATCTTGGATGTACAGTTGTACAACACACAAACATATACAATGAGAGAAATCATCATGGGCTAGGGAGCAGAGCTCTAAAGAAGACAAGGCCTAAAAGAAATGAGGTTTCAAAAAAATAAAGGGCTCTGAGGGGTGCTAGAAGGAGTCCCTGCATGGGTAGAGGGTGTACAAGTTGAATCCTGAGATCTATTTCTTTCAACTCTGGAAGTCTACTGTTTAAAATCAGAATTGTTAATCCTTAGTGGACAGTTCCATCCTCTTGCAAGCTCATGCTCTGGCCTCAGGGGGTGAGGTCAAGGACCGCCCCCCGCCCCCACCCCGCATTGTCTATATTAGGTCTTAGGAGACCACAGCTTGGCTGCCACTCCCCAGGAAAGAAACCACTTAGGTCATCATGCCTCCTCCAGTCCCCAGGCAGGTGACAGACAAGAAGAGCCATGTATCACTGCCCTGGTGGGGCTGGGCCACTGTTCCCCCATCTATCCTAGTCCCACTGGACAGACCTCAACTGTTTACTGGTGAACACAAATCACAAATAAATATTTATTGGTTAAGTCATTGGGCTGATCCCTGACTGATGGGACCAGTGTCCAGATAAGACTTTCTGCCCTTTTTCCAAGGCATGGGTGGAGAGTCAGCCATGTTTATGAGAACTCATTTTGAGGGACCTTTGTTCTCATCTGCAATATAGTTGAGCAACCACATTCTTTATAATTAAAATATAGTGACTAGAGGAAAGGAAGAGAAAAACAATCGCTGAATGGATCACCCAGAGGTAGGAAGGCCACCTCCCTGGGGACAATCCTGGGTCACCCCGTATAATTATTAATAGTGCCCCTTTTACTCCACAAAGTATTCGAGTTGAGATGTTATATTATATGGCCACTCTACTCAGAGGGGGCAGGAAACAGAGGCACAACAATGACAATATAAATGTGAACACCAGATCAGTGGAAGGGGTGTCAAGAGCCCAGGTATCTAGTCTTTATTTGCCCCTTTGGAGCTACATAACTCAAGACAAGTCACTTAAATGATCCTGTTAACTGGCCTGGCTAGTTTTAATGTCCTCATCTGAAAAATAAAAGGACATTTATCCTCCAAACATTTGCCGAATGCCTACTACGTGCCTGGCACTATGGTAGGTGTTGGGGATTCAGACAAAAATTGGATAGCCCCTGCGCCAAGGCCCTTGGTCCAGTCTAGTGTGATGAACATGACAGTTGAGACCCCTGGCTGCCCAGGGGCTCCAGGAGCACTGGAGAGCTTCCTTCGCCTGGAGGAGCAGGGCAAATCACCCCGGGGGAAAACTCTGTTTTAGATCTTGAAGGAAGAGTGGGGTTTGCCAAGCCGAGGTGGGCAGGCCTTTGAGGGGGGTAGTGCAACAAGGGCATTCCAGGCAGAGAGAAAGGTTTGAGCACAGGCCAGAAAGAAAGGAAAGGAACTGTACACGAATTTGCACATCAGGATCTCTAAGCTCCCTTCCAAACTCTAGCATTCTCTGCTGAGCTTCTTCAGAAATGGCTCACGTGCTACTACACCAGGAAGGTGCTATAACCAACAATTGTTATAATAGGTTTATTCAGAGGCCCATGCTATATCTATGTTTACCTGCCTGAGCAAAATTCCTACTGATACCAGCCCAGTGATTTTCTTGCCCCTGTGGCCCTGCATGCTGGAAAGGCAGCAGGGCTAACTCCTTATCCCATTTTGTAAATGGCAAACACTACAAAGTCCAGAAAGGTGACTCTTCCGAGGTTCCTCAACATATCAAGGCTGTCAGGACCCAAGATGGAGGGGTGTTGCCTGGAGAAGCCACCACCTCAGAAGACAGAAGTTCCTTGCAGATGCTCTGCCCTGCCTCCAGCTCCCTGCCTCCTACCCCTGGAGAAGGGAATGCCCCACACCCTGCCATGGGCCAGGCTGTGCAGTACCACCAGCCACCCTCATCCCACTTACAGATACACAAAGACGTTGGAGAGATGGGCGCTGGGGCTCAACTGGTTAAACACTGCCTTCTCTCCTCCCAGTCCCCACAGGAACTCAGATCAAGAATAATCTGGGGTTTCCCTCGTGGCGCAGTGGTTGAGAGTCCACCTGCCAATGCAGGGGACACAGGTTCGTGCCCCGGTCTGGGAAGATCCCACATGCCACGGAGCGGCTGGGCCCGTAAGCCATGGCCACTGAGCCTGCGCGTCCGGAGCCTGCGCTTCCGGAGCCTGTGGTCCGCAACGGGAGAGGCCACAACAGTAATCTGGATTCAGGAGAGGATGGCAGAAAGGTCTTAGAAAAAGAAGATCTAGAGGTACTGGTTTCAGGTGCCAGGAGAGAGGGTACAAGCTGGGCATCTCTGGTCATAGCTATCACCCAGAGTTGGAGCCAAGATCCTTGACTCCTTTTTGGCCTTTCACGGAGCAGCTGCCTCTGGGAGGTGGGGCAAGGAGCTGGAGGATGACCCATTTAGATAATGGAGGAGAGGTTGGGCTGGGCTGGCCAGGGCTGGCAGAGTGGGGATGGCTCACCATCCCACCCAGCCTGCCAGAGAACCAGGCTGGCAGCAGGGATGGGCTCTGAGGGGAGGCTGAG